TATATATATATATATATATATATATATATAATTTATTTAAAACATTTTTACAATTTTTTTTAAATTGTAATAATATTTCACAATATTACTGTCTTTATTTTTTATCCAGCCTTTTAGCACCCTTAGTGAGCATAAGAGATGTCCTTTAAAATCATAAAAAAAGAATCTTATTGTGATGAAAGTGATGTGGCATGTGGCTAAGTATGGTGACCCATACTCGGAATTAGTGCTCTGCATTTATCCCATCCAAAGTGCACACACACACAGCATGAGGCTCATCGAGTGTTTACTCTGATGAAAGAGTCACGGTACGCATTAGGAACGTCTTATCAGTGGTCTGGATCCAGACTTGCTCTTTCTACACACACATAGGTAAATACATACAGATTTACTCTCCAGTACATTTATACAGCAAATGTGTCATATTTGAAAAATATTGTGAAGTGAAAGTTGTGAAGTTAATCTATCGGGTCAGAGCTGTACATCCAAGGATGTTCGTAACATCTATAGACCTATTCATATTTATTTAATTTTTGAATAACAATCCAACAGAATGGTGTAGTTATGGCATCTGCTAGCAGGGGTTTACTGGCCAAACTTTGACCCCTGGCTCCAACAGTGCAGGTTTAAGTCCAGCTTGTGGCATTTTCTGATCCTGTTCCCCTATTAAAATATGATGGAAATGCCAAACACCAAAAAAAAATGTCATACAGAATTAAACCAATTTTAATACATTTAGATATAGAATATGAGTCGAGAAAAACTACCTTGGTTCCCTGGCATGGTTGTTTTGAGAACTTATTCTCTAGAAAATGTTTTCCTTACTGCTAGTATAAAGAGATGAAAGTTATTAGTATTAACTATGCCTCTCTACATCTCAACTCAGGCTGTCTTGTTAATGGATGCGGAAAAGCGGATCAGACTTTTGCAGTTCGTCACTGGAACATCCAGAGTGCCAATGAACGGCTTTGCTGAACTCTACGGTAAATAATGCAATACTGTTCAATACAATACAATACAATATAATATATGTGTGTGTTATTTTGTAAACTTATGTTTGTTTTTCAGAAAATGTCACTGGCGTTGTAGTACAATTGTAGTATAATTTCTCTTGACAATTTAATGCAGACAGTCTATTAGAAGATGTTTGTAGCAGCTTCCTCTGTTTTCAGATCTTAGCATTTCCCTTTGAGACCTATATAATGAATAGGCTCCATTCCTGATTGGTCCTTGACGAGTCACGTGATCTGTTGCAGGTTCCAATGGGCCCCAGTTGTTTACTATCGAGCAGTGGGGGACACCTGACAAACTCCCTCGTGCTCACACCTGGTAAGACCTAGAGGGATTTGACCACTTTATTTACTCAAACACATCTATATGTTTTCCAATCATCTCCTTTAGAAGGGATTATTTTACTTTATTTTATTTTTTATTCTATTTTTTATAAAAAAAATTATTGTTTTGTTGTGTTTTGGGAAAATACCAAAATATACCAAAAACAATTTGGGGATATTCTGAAAAGATGTCACTCTCTTTTAATATAAAAACAACTAAATGTTTGCATGTAGTTGATCTCAATGATTCCGTTATGTTTTCTTCCCACGCAGCTTTAATCGCCTGGACCTCCCGACGTACGAGTCATTTGAAGACCTGCGAGAGAAGCTTCTGATGGCGGTGGAAAACGCCCAAGGCTTTGAGGGCGTCGACTAAAGAAATCCCTTTATATCAATGCGATCTCCTAACGCAACCGATGAGCAAAGACATGTACAACACACTCGCACACACGTCTATACTCACATATACACACTCTCGAGTTGCCATTGTACAGCCAGATCCCAGCAGTCGCAGGTGTGTGATGTCAGCACAGTATATGCATGTAATCTGTCTAGCTGGAACGACATTGGCTGTGAACCCGTTTTGATGCCAAACAGCCCACAAATCCCACAAATCACGCTCTCTAATAACATGTTTTATTTCAAAATCCAGCTCTTGAGGCCGTGACGACTTTTATTTTGATAGTAAATAAGAAACTTCAGTATTTGGGTGTGGCCTCAGAGTGGGCGTGGCCTTGATATACCACCGCAACCAATCCCATTAATTCCACAAACATAATATAAGTTCAGTGAAGAGGCAACTCTCTTATCAGGTCTTACTAACACCAGATTACCTTAGGAATGACAGCCAGGATGAAGGACACATCCTCATCCTCCCTTATCCCGCAAAGTACGCCAAGTTTCCCCTTCCTTCCTTCCTTCGTCGAGGATTATTTTTTTTATCTTCTTTTGCAACGCCAAGAAGCAACGGGAATCGTTTTTAATAGTTTATTATTATCGCTGTTATTATCATTCTTTCAGAGTAAACGGATTATTTGTACCAACAATGTGGTTTACTATTTTAAACAACGTTATCGGAAATGCATTAGTGGCCTGGCTATATTCAATTCAATATCCATATCATTGTGGGTTAAAAAGAAAAGAAAAAACAAACAAACAAAAAAATGATCAACATGATTATTGTATTGCTATGAAAATTGGCATGAACATGTATCTTGTGTTTCAATATGATTACGTAGTAATTATAAAGCTATTCTCCTTCTTGGTTGAGAGCAAAGATGGAAAACGTTGACATGCATCGGACATGAGTTTGTCGGAGAGGGTTTTCTTCAATTGTAATAAGTATTGTTCTTATCTTTATTATGATTATACCTGTTCATAATGCTGTAAATGAGTTTGTTTTGGGGGAAAGACACGATTGGACATTTATTGTACGTGTTAAATCTGTTTGAAGTATTAAAGAGCGACAGAGTGAAGCTATCTTAAAAGCGCTGTGATTCAACACTGCAAGTCTCGTAGACTTTCAGGACATAAACTTTCTTTCTTTCTGTTTTTTCTTGTTTCTTCTAACACCACTGTACCTAAAAGGGCACTTTATTGATCACACACTAGGGTCATGTCACCGTTTTTTTTTTTTTGTGAACTTGAATGTGATTATCTATTTTGTTCTTTTAAAAGCACTCGGTTCCTTGGTGCAATATCTCTTGTTTATAATCGGCCTGCTGCTAACATATCAGATCACAGCTCGGCCCTACAGCTGATCTGGAGTCAGTCTGGTTCGTCAGTGTGAATCCGGATCGGCTCTGTAGGAACGAGCTCCACCTGGAGTCAGACTTCAGACTGGTTCTTTTTCTATTTTCTTTTCCAGTCTTTTATCTGTACGCCTTCCCACTCACACTTTTCGGGCCGCAGTGGCTCTGTAGGTTTGTGATAATATAATGATTATTGTTATAAATTACCCTTTCACTTTTGTAGGGGCAGTTCTTTTTTTTTTTTATTGAAGAGGAACATTTACTGTCTGGTTCCTGCTCACCACAAGACCTTGCGATTCGTATAACTTTGTTTGAAATAAACTGATAAATGGAATTTAGGTGTGGTGTTGTTTTACTGATTTATTCGAAAAGTGTCAGAAAATCAACTAAAGACTTGAAATGGTATCGGATGGGTTTGGATTGATTGATTTCAAGGTAAACACATTCATGGTATTTCTACTTCTGTAACTGTTGGCTGTCGGGTTTGTAAATACCTGTCTGTTCTAGGTTTCAGTTTAAGCTAGAGGTTGAGATAAAGTGTGTTTTGTCATTTACTAGATTGTCTGAAGTCGAAGAACAAGCAAACAGGAGGACAGAGTTTTGCTTTATTGTGTTTTTTTTTTTTTTTTTTTTTTACAGATATGCAATTTTACATGTTCTGTTGATTTGACCTGTTTCAACGCTGCAGGTACAGCTAACCGGGTCAAATCTGACAACCCTCTTTGTAATCTAGTTCAAGGCTGCGTTGACTTCTCTGTTGTTGATTTTCTGCTCTCATGCTTAAACATTGCAAGCCTACATCTATAAAATCTTGAAATAATCATAAATATTTATTTATTTTTAAGTTATATTATAAAAATGTTGTTGCTTATATAACATGTATTAGTAGTTTTATATATACATACACTATTTTTCAAAAGTTTGAGGTGGTAAGATAAAAAAAAAAGTGTTTGAAAGTCTCTTATGCTTGCCAAGGCTGCATTGATTTGATCAAGAATACAGTAAAACCGTAATATTGTGAAATATTATTACAACTTAAAATAACATTTTTTTATTTGAATGTATTTTAAAGGATTTGTTCACCCAAAAATTAAAATTAGCTTGTGTTTTTACTCGCCCTCGAGGCATCCTAGGCGTATATGACTTTAACTGGGGACCCCCTCGATTGGGCTAGTTTTGAGTAGAGTTTGGGTGGGTTTTCTTGTGAAAACCTGGCAACTCTGGTCAGCGGCTGTTGCAGTTGAACAGTCCACAAGTCGTCAAATAAAGCGCGCGCATCCATAATAAAACGTGCTGCACAGGGCTCCAGGGGGTGAATAAAGGCCACCTGTAACAAATCCATCGCTGCGTCCCAATTCGCATATTATCCGTCCTAAATAGTATTCGAAAATATAATTAGTATGTCCCAAATCATAGTATGTTTAAATAAGTATGCCAAAGATTACCGGATGGTCTACTATTTCCGGTTAGAATTCGAAGTGCAGATCGATGCACACTCTAACAGCTAATATTGCCCACAACACGTTGCGCGGTGGACGAGGATTCAATTAGAACTACAAACACGCATTAAAAGTGTTAAAACTACAAACATGGTGGATATACCGCCCAACCTACAGGTAGATAAACAGATTTGAGTGATAAAATAATCAATGTCTAACCTGATGAAAAAATATAAATGTAATGTTATCCACGTTATATTTCATCTGCAGCAACACTGAACTTTTATAATGATACATTTGGTCATTAACTTTTAAATGCATCATTATGCAAACACATGAGCAGAGTTTTCGCATGATAGACCCGCTACTAGCAGATCAACGTACCTCTTAATTTCTCTCCAATACGGTAGTAAATCAAATTAAACAAAATGTGGATGATGTTAACTGTGATAAGATGATTGACAGGGCAGTTTAAACAGTGACAGAATGCACGTAACTAAGCAACATAGCATCCGTTAAAGAAGCAGCTATGACCGAAGTATGTCCCAAAGTTTGCCTATTTTTCTTCTACATACTCAAAAGTATGTATTTTTCTTCACAAAAAGAGTACATACTTTCAGGGCATAGTATAAGTAGATGTCCCAAATCATAGTATGTTTAAATAAGTATGCCAAAGATTACCGGATGGTCTACTATTTCCGGTTAGAATTCGAAGTGCAGATCGATGCACACTCTAACGGCTAATATTGCCCACAAGTTGTTGCGCGGTGGACG